TATATATATATATATATATGAGTCCCTAATTTTTACAAATCTTTTCTAGACTATCATTTTTGTCCACGCCTGTTTCATTATTTTATTTTATATTATTCTGTTTAACCACAACGATTGGTCCAGTTGTGGTTTGATTTATGTGGTTCTGACCTTTTTGGCTTTTGAAAAATCACATCTGGGTCAACAAAGTGTCGCCAATCTTTGCGGTATTTGGGCTGAGTGTTAAAAACTTGACATCTTGCAACTCATAACAAAACACATTTTCATTTTTTTGTTATTTTATGTAGAAGGGACACTGTTTCAATGTTGCATAAAATGTAATATATATCCAGCAGTGAGTCTCATGTATGCATATTAGATGTCTTTGGACCACAGGGGACCACTTCACAATACCTATAACCATTTGAGTTAGTTTGCCTTTCTTCGTTGTTGTTGTTTGTTTTTGCTCTTAGCACAATGAATGGACTGTGTGGGTAATGTTTCTTATTCTTAAKAATTGCTTTAGAGTGTTCTTCATGTGGGTATCTTTCTCTAAGCAATTAAAGCATTGATGTGTCAAACAGAATGGACTACAAACAAAACCAAAAAAATGCTCATTTAGTCTTAAATTGGATTTAACAATTTCATTTCATAAAAAACAAGTTGTCAGAGACTGCTCTTACTTCAGGCTGAACCTGCAAGTTCTCCAGATGTTCCTTAACAATTTCGAGCAACTTCTGATGTAGAATTTCAAAATAAAAGAACTCCCAATATGGACATTTTCTAAGTTCCTGTCTTTTTTGCAGCTAAATGGCTAGTTGTCAGAGACTGTTCACGCTTCAGACTGACTATGAAAGTCCTCCAGATGTTCCTCAACAATTTTGAGSAACTTCTSATGTAGCATTTCAAAATAACGGCACTCACAAAACTGATATTTTACAATTATTTACCTCTCTGATGATTGCACACAGTTGTGTCTGCATCCCTTCTGACCCACAGCCGGATGTCCTCGTAGATTTAGTGTTCTGAAACCAGAAAGCTAAAGGACCGTTTTCATCAACCTCATTTTCTCCACCTGGGTAAAACTCCAGCAGTCGATTAGGAGTTTTCTGAGGACTGGACRGGACGCTGTCCTCTGTCAGCTGCACACGGGCCGTTTCTTCTAAATGATCTGATTTATCTTCAGCCATTTCAAACCAGTTCTTTGGTGATCCATCGCTGTCTGACAGTAAGACGTTGTTATTGTTATTATGGTGCTCTTTTACATTTGGATTGAGAACAAAGCTGGTACTGAGGTCTGAAGTTGTATTCCCTGCAGGAGCATTGAGGGATGGAGCCAGACCATATACACCATCAGATTGTAAAGCTTCTGGTTCTGTGAGGTCAACCTCAGAGTCATCAGAACTTTGACCCGAGGAAAGTTCGTCAAAAAACTGAAAACCTGATTTGGACTTAAAGTGCTCAGTGTGGTACGTGTGTTGTTCAGCATCGCTGTAGAGCTCATCTGGACACTCATCACTTTTTCCTGCATCTGATCTGGATTCACAGAGGTCATCAGGTTCTGCTGGGTGCAGGTGGTCATCCAGGCCAGCAACACTAGCTTCAGCCATCTCACTGGATGAACTCTAAACAGAAGCAGAAACAGATGAAAAATAATAAATACTAACATGAACATGCAGGTTTACACCAGCTGTAAGACTGCTGCTTTAAATATGTGGTTCAAACCCTTCTGTCCTGAAGTCCTGCCCACTTCCACCTTTAAAGTATTCCAACAATCCCTGAAGGAATGCAGTTTTTCCCAAGTTTTAGGTTACGTTCACAGGGCAGGCAAAAGTGGCCTAACTCAGATATTTTGGCCAATTATGTGACTCTCATCTCCATCTTATTTCGTTTATCCATAGTTGGGTCGCGGAGGCAACAGGTCCAGGAGAGAAACCCAGTAATCCCTCTCCCCTGCAACACTTTCCAGCTCGTCCTGTGGGACACCGAGGCGTTCCCAGGCCAGAGAGGATACATAATCCCTCCAGTGATTCCTGGTTCTTCCTCGAGGCCTCCTACCAGTGAGGCATGTGGAACACCTCTAAAAGGAGGCATCCTAATCAGATGCCCGAACCACCTCAACTGACTCCTTTCGATGTTGAGGAGCAGCAGCTCTATTTCGAGCTCTCCCCGGATGACGGAGCTCCTCCCCACATCTCTAAGGCTGAGCCCGGCCACCCTATGAAGGAAGCTCATTTCGGCAGCTTGTAACTGGAATCTTGTTCCTTCAGTCATGATCCACGCCTAATGACTGCTGTGGTGAAGAATGAACAGTTCTTTAAACACAACCTTCATTTAGGGTTGGRACATAGATAGACCAGAAAAAAGGGGGCTTTGCCTTTCGACTCAGCTCTTTCTTCACCACAACTGACCAAAGCAACGCCCTCATTACTGAGGATGTTACTGAGGATGAAGTCCCTATCTGTCGATCCAKCTCCTGCTCCATCCAAACATCACTCGTGAACATGACACCCAGATACTTAAACTCCTCCACTTGAGGCAGAGACTCTCCCCGACCTGGAGGGTGAATTCCTCCCATATCAGATTTTTTAAGCTGTTTGAACATTAAAAATTAATTTAGTAAAAATCCAACCTGGGTCTTTTCATTCTAAACTGGATACCCATCCATTATTTTCCAAGCAACCTCAGTCTGAATGCTCATGACACCATTTCATCCAGCTTTAAAGTCAAGGAAGTAGGGGTACACAGATTGATCTAAATATTGTCATGTCCTAAGTGATGGAGAATTGATACAAACAAACAATAACAGTGGTACTGTGGTGAACACTTCAGGCAATGTTTCACACCAGAATGTAGGCTCTTATTGTGAAGAGTAAAAAGGGGAAAACCAGGGACCGCATGTATAAACAGTGTGTACGCATAAAAAAGTTGCGTGCGCCAAGTTCTACGCCCACGTTAGGATGTATCAAAAGCAACGTTGCGTGAAAGTGTGCGTAAATATACGCACACTTTTCACCGGCCGTGAGAATGTGCGGCAGCCACGCAAAGTTTTTCAGTCGACAGTTTTAACCCACAAAGTCATGAATCTGGCCTGAATCCACAGAAATAGGACTCTGTTATGTTTTCTGGATGTAAGGAGCGTCTGAACACGCTGTTAGATTTTTATTTTAGTTTGAGTTTTTATTTTTTAAACCCGAACGATCATGAAACTGAACCCCGGGACTGAAAATCATTTAACCTCAGACAAGAAAATAGATCAGTCTAAAAATGATCAAAAGAACCTCAGTCCAGTTTATAAACTGTAAAGTTTTATATTGTTGTCACGTAGTTGGAAACACATGCAGAGCGCAGGCCTGCGGAGCGCACACACAGCTGAGGGAAATAAAATGTGTGAATTGTGTAAGAAACATTTTAATTCTCACTGAGAAAAAACTTTGTCAACTCAGCAGATTAAATCAGAACAGGTCAGCTGTGATGATTCCTCTGCTCCACAAGATGCAGACAATAGATTTGTTGCTGCGTAAAGTTGTGCGTAATAAGTGGAACAATGTCAGCTGTTCTGTAGGATGATATCACCACAAGAAGAATTGAGGACAGCGTGTATTTTTAGCATCACACCGAACAAATTACAATCTGGTATTTTACTGTAGTTCTGAGCCGATTCATGCAGCTGAATGAGAGACCATGATTCTAAAATATAAATCACACAGCAGCAGAAACGCTGCGACTCGTTTCTTCACATCAACTATTTAATAAATATTTTTCTAAGTTCTGCCAAACTCATAAGTTTCTCTGTCCATCCATCCATCCATCCATCCATCCATTTTCTTCCGCCTACCTGGGGTCGGGTCGCGGGGGCAGCAGCTTCAGAAGGGAGGCCCAGACCTCCCTCTCCCCAGCCACGTCTTCCAGCTCCTCTGGGGGAACTCCAAGGCGTTCCCAGGCCAGCCGAGAGACATAGTC